AAAAAAAAAAAAAAAAAAAATATATATATATATATATAGTTTAGAAGAGAATGCATGCTTACGCATTTTAGTAAGTGTTCGGAAAATATTTGAGTTGAAATTAGAAAAGAGTAGTTGAAATCAGAGTCCAGTAAAAATTTGATAAACTAAACATATGCAATTTAGTGTTAGTTATTTATTATGTTACAGTCTATGTATTATGGAAGTGATCAAATTTGCCCTTACAGTATTAAAGTTGAGCAGTTTTACCTTCGGTTAAACTTTTGGTCTAATATTACCGTTGTCAAGGAAAAAGCTTCGTTTTTTGCTCGACCCCTTACCTCCAAGATGAGGGTAATATAGCCAAAACTTGAGGGGCAAATTTAGACTTTTTTTTCTCGAACAATTTGGAACCATGGAGTTAAAGACAAGGGCAAATACGAAACGAATTACTAATGACAAAAGGTATAAATAGACCCAAAAGTTAATGTATGACAAAATTTAAGAAATTAGGAAAATTTGGACATTTTCCCTTTTTAACTTGTTTGTAAACCAGTGACTTTTTAGATTACAAAGTGGAGTTATTAGCTTCAATGGTTCTTGTTCAAGCTTTTATCAAAACAAAATTGCATAACAAAAAATCTACATGAAACTCATTCTTCTGTAGCTAAGAACTGACTAGTAACGAACAATATCTGGCAAAATTGAATCAGAGGTAAGCAATTTTACTGGGGTGAGTACATCTTTTGATTTTGGTCAAGTTGATTCCATGGCTGAAAGTATTGACAATATTTTACATTACACATCCAGAATAACGCGATGGGTTCTCTCTAAACAATGCTTAATTAGGCTTTCACTTTCAACGATATGTTTGTACATAGAATCAGGCGTATAGTGTATATGGAAGAGTAGCTTAAACGACTTCCTTTTCAAGGTTTGCGTCTTTGAAACACAAACAAGGAACCTCTGGAGCCCTTTCCCAACCTGATCTTCTCGTCAATGTATGTGATCTCTAATTTAACTTCACTCTCGCCACCATACTGGAAATCTAGTGCCCCTACCTTGAGTTCAGGTGGCTCAAAAACAACTTGTATCCATTTTTCATCTAGGACGTTCAATTTTCCTGCATGACACAGCTGATAGTTAGAAAAATCCCAGATTAGAATGGTAAAAGAACTGGACACACATCATGAACTAGTCTAGACCATGACCTGAGGTATCGAATTCTGTCTTGGGCATGAATTAAATTACATATCATAAGCTAGTACCTTTCTATATTGATACTAAATCAAAGAAATTGTTATGGTAGCAATTGATTATCACTACTTTGCTACCTACCACAGAAAATAGGCCCCGTTTGTTCATGAGACTAAGAGAAAGCAAATTGCATATATAACTAAAAGTAGAACATAATAGAAGCAAATGATTCACTTAGGCGATGCCAACTAGTTGGTACTAAGGTTTAGTTGTTTATTTGCACTGATTCTTCTTTCAATTTTATTTTTGGTTTGCTTAAAGAATCAGTGCTAGTGTACGAACAAGTCTGAGATTTAGAGAACCCATAGTTTGCCTTAGAAAGACTAAGTATTATGTATGTCTTGAAATAAAATGGACCGGGATGGATATAGAGGATTCATATAGTCACCTTCAAGTAGTTTGCTATTAAGGCTTGTTAGATCGATTGATTGGTTGACTAGATTAGGGCCATGTGGTGTAATGCAGGAAATGGCAAACAGATGAAATTGCTGGTAGAAACATTTTGAGTGCCAGTGGGAAGAAGGTACTTCACTGATCCCATAGCTTTCATATTTTTTTGGGGATAACCGTGGTGTTGGGTTACCTCAATTAATTCTACAAGACATCTGCTATCTCCCACCAGCAACAAGTACCAGGTAACTCTGTCCATGAAAGCTTGGACGGATGGAAAGAAATTACCTAGTATTTTTTGCCTCCGCTGGATTTGAACCTGAGACCGTATGGTTCTCAACCCACTTTATTGACCACTAGGCCACACTCTTAAGTGCCTATTTACAACATTCTTATTTAGAGGCTTCATATAACAGATTGAGAACAAAAAGGACAAATAACTTAGAAGCCAGAAACAGTGAGATGTCTGTATATTTCTTAGAAAATATGCAAATTACTTGCAATTATGCATCAACTGAGTCTGAGCGTCCACGTTGTTATATTTGGCATTTGATTCAGCAAGTCACAAATGCAGCAAGTCACACTTACCATATATGCACACCAACATTTCTACTCCCCTATAAAGGAGAAAAGAACTTTTAAGAAGATATAAATTTGAAAGATAGGATATGTTTTCGTACCTTTTAAGGAAACTTCCCCATCAAGGAAACCAAAAAGTGAAAAGGACACTCTATTCTTGACAATGTCAGGGGCTTCAACAACCTGAATCATTTCGTTTGTTTTGAAGAAAAGGCGACCAAATGCACTCCGATAGCCACCCCCAGGTGAAGT